CACCAGATAATTTTTTAGCCAAAAACAAAATTAGTAGGCATAATACATGCACACTTACACTGTGTGATTAGATCGCACCCAGATCTGCCTAGTTTGAATTAGGGTTCGGTGCTCAATTTTGTCCGTAAGGAAGGAAGAGAGGGGGCGGCATACCGGTGGATGCTCGTTCTTTGGCAAAGGGTCCGGCGAAGACCGGGTAGCTGGGAGTAGGGCAGCGGCGGTCGGCAAGGCCGTGTTTAGCCATGAATCCAATCTGGGGTAGGCGAGGTGAACGGGAGCGGGCGCCGGAGTTCACGTCGGCGGCTCGCGGGGCGGCACGCCGGGCCGGGCACGGGCGCCGGAGCTCGCGGCTGCTGCACGGCTGTGCTGGCCGGGTCGGGCGGTCTGGGACCGGCTGAGGCTGAAGGCTCCACGCCGGCGGCGTCGCCGCCCTCTAGAAACCCTAGGGGTGGGTGCGTGAGGCGCGGGAGGGGGAGGCGGGAGGGAAGGCGCGAACAAAGATCGGCGGGGAAGGGGGAAGGGGCCGGCGTCGTGGCAGCTGAGGCGACGGCGTCGGAGGAGAAGAGAGCGCCAACCGCAGACAACACCTGTGCGCCTCTTAGTTTTATAGTCGGGATGATTTGTAGGGCGGTTCTCGATCCACCACCCTTAAATGCATTTGTAGGCGCCTTCTGATCCAACCGCCTTACAAATATATTTTTATTTTTAAATTATTAATTACGCATTATAAAAACAATTGTGTATATATAAAACAATTATGACCAAAAATAAAAGTAATATAAAAACAATTGTGTATATGCACAAATATAATATTTTGTATTATTCTATATATGAAGAAATATATATATAAACAATTGTAGTCAAAACAATATAGAAAAAAAAAAAAACAAAAATTAAAAATTTGAATTTTAAAACTTGACTACAATTTTATGACATTAAATGAAATAAAATGAAAATATTGTAAACATAAAAGTTGTATAACTCATCAACATGTACAACTTTTATTTTGGTCATCTTGTCATGTGACTTTGTTTGAACGATTCAAATTTTAAAATTCAAACAATTTCAACTTAAAACAATATTTTGAAAGAGTAAATGATTTCAAATGAAAACTCATGAATACCAAAGTTGTAGAACTCATCAATATGTACAACTTTTATTTTGATCATATTTTCATTTGACTAAATTTGAATAGTTGAAATTTAGTATTTCAATAATTGGCAACTTCAAACAAGATTTTGAAACCTTAAATGATCTCAACAATAAAAAGTCATGAACATAAAAGTTGTTGAACTCATCACTATCTACAACTTTTATTTTGGTCACTTCTTTATGTGACAAAGTATTAGTAAACATTGTTCGTAAATTCACATATGACTCATAATTTCCTGAACTATACGAGAAACATGTTGATTTGTGAATAATGTTTGTTATCACTTTATCAGATGAAGAAATGACCAAAATAAAAGTTGTAGATCTTGATGAGTTATACAACTTTGGTATTCATCACTTTTTCAGCTGAAATCATTTAATGGTTGAAAAAAATCTCGTTCGAACTTGTCATTTTTTTAAATTTGAAAATTTGAAGGGCTCAAACTTTGTCAAATGAAAACAATGACCAAATCAACATACTAACTTGATAGGGCAAGATTTTAGAAAATTTTAGAAAAAAAAATCATCACATTTGGAGTTAGTATGAGGGAGAAAGACTAGTTATAAATTTTACCCAGAGATTAAAAAGTAAAAGCACAACTGTTCATGATGATCAATGATGAATAAGTGTGATTTCTCTTTTTAATCTGTGGCTGAAACTTATACCTAGTTTTTCTCCCTCATACTAACTCCAAATGTGATGGTTTTTTTTCCTAAAATTTTCTAAAATCATGCTCTATCATTTTAGTCTAGTCATCTATCTTTGTCACTAATTTTGAACAATTCAAATTTTAAATTTCAGAAAATAACAGCTTCAAACCTAATTTTCAAACACTAAATGATTTCAACTATAAAGGTGATGAATATAAAAGTTGTATAACTCATCAAGATCTCCTACTTTTATTTTGATCATTTCTTCATTTCATAAAGTGTTAAGTGATTTCATAGAGTTTTAGTAGTAATAGAGTGGATGTTCAAATAGAGTCATCTAGATGTTGCAAAGGGTAGTCTCACACACATGTATAAATGTAGTCTCACACACATACAAAAATATGTAGTCTTACACACGTACATAAATATATAGTCTCGCACGCATCCATAAATAAAGTCTTACAAACACACACTTACATAAACACTCCACGTTCAACAACTAGCTAGCCCGCTGTAACGACTTTACCCTTGACACATTTTCATTCCCATGGCAATATGTCTTTGGGAGGTTTTTTTCCACAACACTAATCTTCTTAGGAAAGTCTGTGAATAGCGGCATCTCATCGTAGTTATTGTAAGCTTCAACATCATCCACGTCATCAACTCCAATAATGTGCTGTTTCCCGGAGGCAACCACGTGCTTTGTCTTCTTCTTCGGGGGGAGGTTACTTTGTGGGTCAGACATATAGAAAACTTGTGCGACACGTGAAGCGAGCACCCAAGGGTCATCTTGGTAGCCTAGATTCTCGAGGTCCAGAACTCTCAATCCGATCTCGTTCAGTTGGTGTTGTTTGATCCAGCGGCATCGAAACGGGGCCACCGTTATATCCCTTCCATAGCCAAGTTCCCATATCTCTTCAATGATGCCAAAGTATTGGATATTTTGCCCCGATCCATCGAGAGCCTCTATTCAAACGCCATTATTTTGGTTCACATATTTACTATCCTTTGTGTGGGTATAGTACGTATACCCATTGATGTCATAAGCATTCCAAGATGTCACTTGTCTCGATGGCCCCTCCGCTAGCCTACTAATGGTAATAGAGTCTATGGTTTCTCTAGGCGGTATGTTTTGGTCCTTCAACCATGTAGTTAGTCGTTGCTTGTGTTGTTTCATGACCCAATCATCCAAACGGTTATTTCTCTCCGCCATAATGATAGCCAAGTGTTCATCAATGTACGGTTGCATCAGTTGTGTACTCTGCAAGACACTATAATACGCTCGACTCACCTCTTTGTAATCATGGTCGATGAACACTTTTCTACCACTGGTGCCCTTCCCAGCCAGCCTACCCTTGTGACGAGAATCGGGTTTACCAATCCCTTTCTGTACTTTTAGGTACTCTTGACAATACTCGACGACTTCTTCAGTACTATAACCCTCTATCATGGAGCCCTCTGGGTATGTTCGATTATGCGCGTATCGACTTAGAACTGACATGAACCGCTCGTAGGACCACATTTCATGCAAGTAGCAAGGGCCCAGCGCCTGTATCTAATGAACCATGTGAATCATGAGATGTGGCATTATATCAAAAAAAGTAGGAGGCAAACACATCTCCGCTTGATTTTGTGTCTCCACCACAAATTCATGTAGGTCACTCGACTCTTGCTTGCCAATCGTCTTCATGAGATCTTCAAAAGAAGTAGCACATGTGGGTGATGGCCATTTTCAAGAACTCGCTTTATAGCCCTAATTGCAATAGGTAGAAACACTGCCAAAGATCACATGACAATCATGAGCCTTGCAGTGTGTTATTGACAAGTCCTTCATCGACACTAGCTTCTTCATATTTGCTGAAAACCCAGTTGGGACATTGATCCCCCTCAGGAAAGTGCATATAGCTCTCTTCTCGTCTGGTGTTAGGTTGAAGCACGCCATGGGCAGAGTGTATTTTCCATTAGCCTCAGGTACCGGGTGAAGTTGTGGCATCACGTTTAGCTGCACCATGTCTTTTCCGTGCTTTTAGACCATCCTTTGACTTGCCTGTGTCCATCAAGGTGGCAATGAGACTCTCAAAGACATTTTTCTGCATGTGCATAGCATCAATGGCATGGGGGGCCTCCAAGTCTGGCCAATAAGGCAGATACCTCCGAGTGTACCGCCAGCGAGACCGTACCGACGTTGGGTTCACCCCTAATGTACTGCCTTCACGTCCGAAGAGGCAGCGACATCCGCGGTACCCATATACTCCTGGGTCGTAGGAGTTCTTTAGGATAACATGGTGCACTTATACTCGGACATCCATATATTGATGGAACATGTAGTATGTCGAGTAATGTCGAACTTATGTATTGATGAACTTGTGTCGTAATTATGACTTGCTGAGCTTATGTTGAACAGAGGTATTGTCGAACTTGCGATGAACGGAGGTATTGTCGAACTTGCGATGAAGTTAGTATTGCTGAACTTGTGTATTGATTGTCTCGTGCATTTAACCTTCATACTAACCTATTCGTTAAACCGACACGACGAAATAACTCATGTGAGAACATAACAGAAGTGGCTTGTTCCATTTGTTGCCGCTTTGACCGCCGCGCTATGGCTAGGGCATGTCAGCCTTGCCGCGCCGTGTGCTGTGGCGGCACGGCAGCTCCTGCCACGTTAGCGGCCATGGCCCGGGGAAGTGACCACTGCCGTGCCGCCATGCATGGCGCAGCAAAGTTGTTTTTCCGCGCCGTGGCAATAGGCGCGGCCAAAAGTGTTAGATTTTTTAAAAAAAAGTGTTTATAATTAAAAATAGTTTTAAAAAAGTGTTAAAAATAAAAATAAATCTTCAAGGGGAAAAGCACCAACGAGCACCGCGCCAACAAGTAATGACTTTGCTCGGTATACAAGCATGTGAAGCAAATGTTAAATGCAACGAAAATCATCCACGAATGACAGTAATCCATACAACGCATTGCAGAGTACCACATTAGATACAGCATAAAAATGAAATAAGGTAGCAGTTATTCACTCCCTACACTACCTGCACCTGACACAAATGCGAGCATCAGAGAGGAGGCCCCAATCGGGGAATTATTTGTCAGGCAGAAACCACGACGCAAAGACGGAATAAAAAAAAAAGGCAAGTTTATCGCAAATCTTCACAGGTTTGTTCCATGTTCGTTTTGAAGGGAAGACATGATCCCCTTCAGGCGTCCAACTGGAGCTTCTTGATCGTGTCGATCTGCTTTGCCGGGTTCAGGCCCTTGGGGCAGGCATGCGTGCAGTTCTTGATGGTGTGGCAGCGGTAGAGCTTGAACTCGTCATTGATGGCGTCCAGGCGCTCCTTGGTGAACTGGTCACGGCTGTCCTGTATCCACCTGGAACAACGAATGGACATTTTATAGCACAAGACCCATCGTGGAATGCAAGCATGCCCTACCTGGGCATCACAAGTTCAAAGCTCATAAACTGAACCAAACCGGGCAAGTACTTCACAATCACTCCATTGGGATATAAATATTGCACACCAAAAAACATTAATGTTCATTAATTACACTAACTGCAAACAAAGTTGGTTATCATATTATTTAATGAAAGTTAACTGCCATATCTTAGTTCCTATGATCTAACACAAACCCTCTATGTGGACATCAAATAAATTAAACAGAGGTAAGATGAATCAAACAGCTGATGTATGGATCATACAATCAAATAAAACACTGGAATAACAAATGACTCAACATATCAGCATGGATCGCAAATACGCAGTGCTGAACAGACTTCAGAGAAGTGAGAAGTCCAGAAGGTAGAATAAAAGTAGCCAAAAACACTGAAACAAACAACTTATGAAGTCGGATTACTCTAACATACAATATTCACAATCATTCTGAGCACATGATGTAAACTTTGGAGTGAGGTGGTAACTACTTAGCAGCATGAAGTACAGAGTAACTGATAACAGAAACAAGCGCAACATATTCACAACCCAGTGTGAAGATAACAGAAAAAAAAAATCTGCATTCAGAAACAAGTTCTGATCCTTTAACTTCATAAGTGCATAATATATATAAAAAAAACAGTACAGTACACTGATTCAGCTAAAATATTTAAATAAAATTGGCTGCTGGTCAGAAACTTTAAAGCTTGTTTCAGGGATCACACACTGAAAGGTTGCATGTAAACAACCTTATTTTCTTGTACTACTGCAGAGCTAGCGCTTTTTTCTACTGGCTCGTTAGCATCTACCACGATGCTTTCTTTACGCCCGTCAGTTCACCCTTGTTTGCCAATGTGCGGAACACAATACGGGACATGCGAAATTTCTTGTAGACAGCGCGAGACCGGCCTGTGAAAATGCAGCGGTTTCTAAGGCGTGTCATGGAGCTATTTCTTGGCAACTTGGACAACTTATAGCGGAACTTCTCCCGCATATCCAATGGAAGATCAGGGTCCCTACAGACAGCCTTATACAGCTTTCCCCTCAGCTCATATTTTTCTGCAAGCAATCTACGTTTGTGGTCCCGCAGGTTTCTCTTCTCTGACACCCCGTGATATCCTCGAGCTTGAAGGTGCATGAACATGTTGGGTTTTGGTTTGATAAGCGTCCCCCACAGCGGAAGCCTAAAAAGGGTGAACGTGTCATGGACTTAGCAACATCCTAAAACTTAGAACAAAGAAAATTTATCATATTAGACAGCTATCATTCAAGGGAAACAAGTGCAGACAAATCCACAAGAACTGGCTTTAGCATCTTAAATTCGCTTGATCATCAGTGTAGTTTAACGGTGATGAAGCGAGGAACTAGCACTCTCTATACTGGAAGAGAGGTTAGCAGTTTAGCACGCCACTGCCAAACAACTTATCAGAGGAATAGATTCACCAAAACATCCACCATATGTTAATTTAAGTTGGGCGATGTGACATGTTTGCAACTCATAAGTTAAATGCTAGAAGAATACTAGAACCACAATGCCTTTAAAGCTGTCTAAGCGATCTTCTGCAGAAATGCATTCAACACATTTCCTTCACTAGTGATACTAATATCATCAGATCATAGTCACAGCAGCCACCCAATCATGATCATGGAACCACTTCACATGGGTGTTACTGCCACCAATATAAACAACAAAGGATCATCACATCTAAGGAACAAACAATTCATCAAGACATCAGACCAATAACCAATCTACCTGGATCACAATCATCTCCAGGTTTGCGTAGCTAAGCTAGCAACTATATCAATCTACACACATCACTTCAATTGGCAATCTACCTGGATCACAATCATTTCCAGGCTCACGTAGCTAAGCTATCAACTATATCAAACAATCTACACACATCACTTCAACTGGAATTACTTCATGATCAGCAGAGCATGACTTGCAACCGATCAATCACACATCACTAAGCAATCATCAAACAGTTCAAATGGAATTACTTCATGATCAGAAGAGCATGACTCACGACCGATCAATCACATATCATTCAGCAATCATCAAACAGATCCAGCATACATCACTCAGCAATCATCCATCTCAGTATCAAAGGGGGTAGCAATGATGCTGGTATACCTGTTGGCGTGGAGCAGCGCGGCTGGGCCGAGGTACTCCTCGGGGTTCCACCAGTAGGACGGGCAGGAGGTGGAGCAGCAGGCACACAGGATGCACTCATACATGCCGTCGAGCTTGGCACGATCGGCCTTGGTCTGCGGGATCTCCTTGCCCTGCTGCGGCGGTGGGTCCTTGCGCTTGAGCCACGGCTCGACGCTCTTGTACTGGTTGTAGAAGTTGGTCATGTCCACCACCAGGTCCTTGATGACGAACATGTGGGGCAGCGGCGAGACCGTGGACGCCGAGGACGCCGAGGAGATCTTGGTGAGGCAGGCGAGGCCGTTGTCGCCGTCCATGTTCATGGCGCAGCTCCCGCAGATGCCCTCGCGGCAGCTGCGGCGGAAGGTGAGCGACGGGTCCTGCTCGTTCTTGATCTTGAGCAGCGCGTCCAGCACCATCGGCCCGCAGTCGGACAGGTCCACCTGGTAGTCCTTGAGGTGCGGCTTCGTCGACGGCGAGTCCGGGTCCCACCGGTAGATCGAGAAGGTCTTCGTGTTGGACGCGACCTTCGCCGCCGCCGGCGGCGGCGCGGGGGACGAGGAGTGGGACTTGGACGCGACGAGGCGGGACGAGAGGGCCGGCGAGAGGAGCGCGCGCGCCGCCGGCGAGCGGCGGAGCAGGGCGGCGGCGGCCATGGATGGATGCGGATTCCGATTTGGGGGTCTGCTCTTTTTTTTTCCCCTGGAAGGTTGGGGGCGCGTGGTGGCCTTGCGAACGGAAGGGTATTTATATGTGAGGTCGTTGGTGGGTGGATGACATGTGGGGTCGGGAAGGGAGCGATCGGAATGCCGGTGCTAGGGTTGGGGCGGGAGGATGACATGTGGGGCATGAGGGGTTTGGTTTGGGCCTGGTTTGTGGGTGGGAGCGTGGAGATGTGGACGACTCGTGGGCCGCTCGCAAGATGACAAAACAAAGTTGCTGACTTTCGAGGGCGTTTTTTCTTTAACTTCTTTCTAGGGCGTTTTAAGATCACTTTGGATAGTTCTTGATATTTCCCTCTTTTTCTTCACTTTCTGTGTTTGCGTTGATGTCATGGTTGACATATTTTTTTCTAACAGAAAATAAACTGAGGAATTATATGAAAAATAGTCATCAGAATGTAGTTACAATTTAATTTATGATGAAAGAAAAAAAAAATAGCTTATCTAATTCGGTGTCTTATGGTGGGAGCAAAACATATTCATCCAGACTTAGTATTTAGGGTGTGTTTGGTTAGCCTATGAGATGTGGAAAAGCTACGGCGAAGCTAGCTACGAGAAAGTTGTAATGCCCCTAAGGTCTAAAAGATCGATTATATGCTAATTGATCGTAAGACACTAATCAATTCAATTATCCACATATGAATAAAGATCTTAGAATGGGAAACTACATTTTTTTAATATACTACATCCGTTGTAGACATATGGTCCATATAAATAGATTGCTAGATTAGTACAAACGACATATGGTTCATATAATGACGTCTTGTGTCACCATATATCTATCTACCTCTCGTACTAAACCAAAGCATTAGCTATCCTAATGCGAATGATATTCATGGTATCCTCGTTTCCCCATCTTTCCCATCATGACTCCTTGTGTTTGCCTATCAAAAAGAAAAAAAAGACTCTCTCTTGTGTTTGTGCCGCCGCACAATTCACATGTCCCTTCTGATAGATACTCCTCATCCGCATCACATTATCAAACTCCTTATCATGAAACTTGGATATAGCAACTAATATTCGGTTTGGATAAACCTCATGTCGATTTAGATACCCTATTCGGTTTGGATATATAATACGTGCTTCCTTTAAAAGAGGTAAGATACCCTATTCGGTTTGGATAACCATAGTCGACGAGATAACATTTTCCTAAAAATACAATTCAATATAAGCAACTAATAATGAAATCATTTGGTAACTTAGTAAGAAAAATGTTTACCTTTATGAGGCACGAAAAACGAAAGAAAATTTGCTAATCCATGATAGGATCCTTGTGTCATGTGCCGAGCCCAGCCAACCAACAACTACCAACCGCAAAAATAAACCTCATGTCAAAGTCACATATAGCAAGCACATTCTGAGATGTATATCCATGTCGACATGTGTGGTTAACCACGTCCTCTGCAGGCACTGAAACTAGAACATGCGAACCATCTATAGCTCCAATCGCACCTTTGAAATAAGGGCAATAAACGGTCCTCTTTAACCTTCTCCACACAAGAAAATATTCTAGATGCGGTTCATCATCTCCTTCTCGTGCTCTCTCTCAAGCAAATTGAACCTCTCTTCATTAGTTTCAAGCAAACTAAACACCTCCCTAAATTTAGGCTTCACGATTAAGGACGCGGATGTGTGCATCAAAGCAGTTTTTTCTTGTACACCACAACCTTTCACCATCTTCATGGCCTCTGCAATGCTAGGGACCAGATTGGTTGGATCCTCCTCGTGCTCCCTCTTAAGCAAATCGAACCTCCCTTCATTAGTTTCAAGCGAGCTAAACAACTCCCTAAATTCAGGCTTCACAATCAAGGACATGGATGTGTGCATCAAAGCAGTTTTTTCTTGCACACCACAACCTTTCACCATCTTCATGACCTCTGCAATGCTAGGGACCAGATTGGTTGGAGGAGCTGATGACGCTTCAACACTTTTGGTGATCTTCTCTGCTGCAGATTGGATCTTCAAACATGTATTTCTGTACAATCGAAAGAATGGGCTCTTCTCATCCTTCTCTTTAGTAGCACTTGAGGAGTACTAGCATTTCTTCTTTCTTGGTTTTGCTTTCTTGAATGCAGCTAACTTGATATCCTCGGTAAGCCTGTCGCCGGGTATTCATACCCAGTATTCAAATCCATATCCACGTGAAACGGGGAGGGTATGGATAGAAAATCTCATACCCGTTCGGGTATGGGTAACATCCGTTGAGAAACGGGTACGGGGAGGGTATTCTATCTATCTTGTGCATCCTTCTCCATGGACGGCAACGCGAGGGACCTCAACCTGTTCCCGGTCGCCGCAGCCACGAAACCCTGCGCCGTGACGACGGCCCCGGCTCCGGCGCCGGCGCCAAGCCCCGGCTCCGCGGTCAGCGCCATGACGACATACCACAGCGTGTGCACGATCGTGAAGGTGAAGACGGCCCTGGAACGGTTTGAGCGCGGCAAGCAGCAGCAGCCCCATCCGCACCAGCAGCAGCAGCACAGCGGTGCGGGCGCGTCCCCGTCGTCGTCGTTTGTGACCACGTCCTCCGTGAAGCGCCACGGCGTCGGCGTGGAGCAAGGCGACGGCTGCGACTCACCCTCCGGCGGCGGCGGCGGGATGGTGGCCGTGGCGTGCTCCAGGTGCTTCCTGTACGTGCTCATCTCCTGGACCGACCTGCGGTGCGAGTCCCATGTCCTGGCCCTACCGGCGCCGGCGCCGGCCGTGAGCAAGAAGCCGCGGATCGACCTCAACGTCGGCTACCTCGGCACCACAAGTTCGCGTACGTACACAGGAAGTACCCATGACATAGCTGCCGTCTCCTGCATGAATGGCGTGGCCGGCGTTGCTCCTGGGTCAACACGCAGATGGGCGCCGACGTGCCCGCCGCCGCCAGGAGCTCTTCAAGGTGTGGCGCGCCCGGAACGAGACGGACGGCAGAGGCAACGAGGAGGACTTGGCGTTGCTGTTGATCGACTACCCCGGCAGCGAGCGTAGGGCATTTCTACTTAGCTAGCTTATGACGATGAGGCCGGAGACATACATAGTTAGTCACTGCTCAATTATCTAATGAATATGGGGAAATCGGGTATGAATAAAAGTCGGGAGGGGAACATGTGGATAAGCAAGATATGGGTATGAGTATGGATACGTACGGGTGTATCCATACCCTCCCCAACGACAGGCTTAATCCTCGGCATCTGAAGTTTTTGTCACTTTGGTCACATCATCATCATTACTTGATTCATCCGATAATATGTCCCCAGGACAAATTGCAGTGGTCCCACTAACATGAATCTTACCGAACATAATGTGCAAATCATCAAGGTGCTTTGGTCCATGTTTTTGGAACCTCATATGATTGCATTTGATCCCCTTCTCAGGATTGTTGCATCTCTGAAATCAAATTAAAAAAGTTAGCAAGTGCAACCATATAGAATCATGATCATTGAATAAAGAAAAATGTAGTGCAAAACTTACAGCAAGGTGTTCATCCCACCATTCTTTAGCGCAGTCAACTGTTTGCTTTGCATCATCCCATCCAAGTCCAGTGGCAGCATTTTTCAACTCCATAAACCATGTATATTCCTTTCTCATATTATTCCACTTGTTCTTCAATTGTTTCTTTGTTAGTCTTTTACCTGTTTTTTTCCTCAAATTTGTCTACAAGTTTTTCCCAACTGGCTCTATTGAACCCAGCCTCGATCTCTCCTTTGCAAATATCAATGAAATGCCTCAAATTGGCACCACTCCAATCCGCTCTCTCTGCCATGCTTGAATCAAGCAAAAAAAATATATTTCATTGAAGTTAGTTATCACAACAACAATGTGTTAAAAAAAATATATCCCACTGATCACAGCATCAAAAAATTAATAGGAATACAAGTGCTGTCAGATTGGATCTGTGATCATTCACAAATGCTGTCAGGTTGGCCACTGATCACAGCACCAAAAAATTAATAGGAATACAAGTGCTGTCAGGTTGCCTCTGTGACCATTCACAAATGCTGTCAGGTTGGCTACGGCGTACAGTGAAGAAGTCACGAATTCTGGTGCACAACACTACACTAGCGAACAACAAGAAAGCGAGCATGGGGATTTTGGCATCAATTTGTACATGCAAGCACTGAACAGAAACATCACATCAATCCATACACACAAACACTGAACCTAAAACACAAATTTCACAGGAATCCATACAATGCGAGCACTGAACAGCGGGGGGAGGGGTTTAATACCTCCGGCCGGCAAAACAAGGTGTCCGGGGAGGAGGACGAGAGGGCAGAGAGGGACGCTGGAGAGGACCCCGACGAGCGGCGGTGCACAGCCGGGCTGGACGCGGACGCGGCCGTTGATTGTTCGGGGAGGAGGAGAGGGCGGAGAGGACCACCGGAGAGGAACCGGCTGCTGGGAGAAACTCGCCGCCCGAAATGGTGCGGCGGCGCCGGCGCCCGCAACCCTAGCGCGTGCGGGGCGGTGCTTGTGCTTCTGTCGGAGTCTTTATAGACACAGATGGCCCCATTTTCATCCACTCCGAGTGGCAACCTAATCCAACTTTGGAGCCCTAAATATGCAATTTTGTCGAGAGTCGGACGAGAAGAGGAAAAGAAAAGAAAGATCGAAGTGGTACAGTTGAAAAAGTTGAAAATTGCAGCCGTAGAAGGAAAATCATACTAGGGGCCTGTTTAGTTCACCCGCTGAATCGGCGCCGCCAAAATTCGACATACACTGTAGCTATTGTAGCGTTTTGTTTTTATTTGGTAATAATTGTCCGATCGTTGACTAATTAGACTCAAAACGTTCGTCTCGCAAAGTACAACTAAACTGTGTAATTAGTTTTTGATTTCGTCAACATTTAGTACTCCATGCATGTACCGCAAATTTGATGTGACGGGAAATCTTCTTTTTGCATAGTGCCAAATTCTAGAATCCAAGGGAACTAAACAAGGGCTAGAGGGAAAAACAGTTTTCTCTCTACAGAAGCTGCTACAGCCTACAGGTTGCGCCCAGCTTTTAGTTGTTGTTTTTTTTGGCAAAAGCAGTTTTCATAAACCCAACCAAATACACCCTTAACTATACTTGCATTCTTGGTTATTTTTTTCAATGGTAAATCACATGCTCTTAAATAGCAAGGTGTCTATGGTAACTTTAGTCTTAAGATCTTGCTTTCATACTATACGACAGGTCAACGAGGATTGTGCGGGTGAACCATTTTTTTTAGGATTTTCAGGTCATTTTAGATAGTTCTTGATTTTTTTTCTTGTTCGTTACTTACTTTTTTGTTGGCGTTGTGGTCGACATATTTGGGATTAAAAAATAATTTAAAATATTACATGGACAAATGAGCTATCAACAGGTAATTAGAATTTAATTGGTGATGAAAGGAAGAAAAATGAACCCGGTTTAGCAAAGTTTGTGGAGCATAGAACTTAACCGCTTAATAAACACTTAGAAGAGAAAGAGAAACATCAGATCACGGGTGCCATTCGCAGGTAAGTCTTCAATTTCAATTCAAACAAACAAGGGAGCAAATATATAGAAAATAGAAAAATCAAAATGAAGAATGGGAAACCATTTCGTTTAGTCGACGGAAGCTACGAGCGTCATGACGGCCCAATCCGGCCCATGGTCATCTAAGACCAAAGGCCCATCTGTACTCCAGGCTCCCACTTGCAGCCCAACAAGACCCGTGTTTTACGAGAAAGAATCAAGGCCTACTCCCACGGCCCAGCTCTGCGCTTCTTCAGGCACGCGCTCCACCACCTGCCTCCTCCGCCCCTGGCTGATGAGTGATGACACATTTGCCTTCGCGTTCGTGTTCAAGGGTTGCGCAACGTCTGGGGTGGCCTCGAGCCGATGCGCAGCTCCATTCGTAGTCTGCAAGGTGTTCGAGTTCTAGGCCTACGTGCACGCCGCCCTCGTCGACGTGTATGACGTCTCTAAACGCTTGGTGGAAGCACTGAAGGTGTTCGATGGAATGCCGGTGAAGAATGTGGTTTCGCGGAATGTGATGATCACGGGCTTCGTCGGGTGGGTGAGGTTGAGTATGCGAGGCTTCTGTTTGAGCAGATGCCCTGCAGCAATGTTGTCTCATGGACCAGGCCGATTGATAGGTGTGTACGGCTGTACGCGTGCCTGCCTTTATACGGAGGCTGTTGGCTGTTGCTCTTTTCTGCCAGATGATGGCAGGAGGCATTAGCCCGAGTGAGATACTGTTTTAGTAGTTATTCCTGCAATATCTGGATGGATCATTGTGGGTGAGATGCCGCTTGGCTATTGTGAGAAGAAGGGTACCGTGTCAGATGTCTTTGTTGAGAATTCGCTCATAGACTTGTATGCTAAGATTGGCTCCGGTGCAGAACTCGCTAAAGGTGTCTGATGAAATGCTACATAGAAAAACCTAGTGCCATGGACACCGATAATTTCTGGTTTTGCAATGCATGGGTTGTCAGTTGAGGCAGTTGAACTGTTTGCAGGGATTAGGCCCAACAGAGTCACCTTCTTGAGCGTCATTGATGCTTGCAGTCATGGGGGGCTGATAGAGCAAGGGTTAGCGTTTTTTAAAAGCATGATCTTTTAGTACAATATAGATCCAGGGGTCGAGCATTTTGTTTGCATCATAGACATGCTTGGTAGGTCTGGACGGTTGTGTGAGGCCAAGCAAACAATAGATGGGTTCCCTATACAGGTTAATGCTGCTGTATGGAGGATGCTGTTGGGTGTTTGCAGTAAGTATGGAGAAGTTGAGATGGGGGAGAGGGCTATAAAGAAGATACTGGACTTAGAAAGAGAATGCGGAGGTGATTTTGCAGTGCTGTCCAATATTGTAGGTTCAGTGATGCTGAACAAGCGCGGAAGTTACTGAATGAGAGGAAAAGTAAAACTAGTAAGGTTCCTAGGATTGCTTTGGTTGGTGAGATTCAGTAGTTGTCAATTGTTCAGTCTGATGAGAGGAAGAAGCTCTCTCAAATTTGCTTGCAACCTTACCACTTTAAGTATCTGCCTGTAGTATACCAACTTCAATAATTCTCCTGATAATTTGCCCTTTTTATCTTCCATGTAAAGAAACAAAATTAAATTTTATTGTTTCTTGGCTGCTAAATAGGTTGTCATAAATGATATGCCTGCAATCCCATATTTGTTAACTCAGCGCTATCATTGTGCCATCTCACTTTGTTTTCTTTTTGTGTCCTCATAATAAGCCTCAAAGGCATGCTGCATTTGGTCACTTGTTTCCACCTCCAAAATGACTGCTTCACCCCAAGTACAGCTGTTTGTTAGACCATTTACCTATCTTACATTTCCTTGCAGGAAGCAGGTGAAGTGAACGTAATGTCTAATTCTTTCTCCTCTTTCACTAGATCGTCTTGTAATGATGGAAGCTGTAAAGAAGCTCCATGCACTTTCTGGCCTGCACATCTGTCAATATGCAATGTCCAAGGTTATCAGATCTTATGCTTTTCAGTAATCAGATTTGGTTTTTACTCATAAAATATTTGAGCAGATAGAATTACCAACAACTTTTCTTTACTCTACTCAGAGGCCTTGCTCAGAGTGATGCACCAAAAGGTGCCACAGACAACTTGACATTTCTTTCGCATCTAAAACTTTTGCAAAAACTTATGCTCACAAGGAAGGTGAACAGATGCACATCCATGTTATAAAATTTGGATTTCTTCTGGACATCTTTGTTTCCAATTCGCTGATTCATCTATATGTTGCTTGCGGTGATCTCGTCTGTGCAAGATCTGTCTTTAATGATATGCTAGTTAAGGATGTCGTGTCCTGGAATTCCTTGACTGATGCACAACTGTAGCGGCGACCAAAGAGGGCTGATTGATTGCTGACCTTAACTATTCAAAAGATTTGAGGTCTTCATGATGAGTTAGTATCCCTCTGAATGTATTTATTTTAGTAGCTTGCATCATGTAATGCTTTAGATATTAGAAATTATGTTGCTATACTTTCTGAGTTTTTAGTTATGCTAATTTGTAAATATACATTGCAGTGGATACTATTGTTATTTGTAGGTTTTTTTTGTAGTTAAATTTTTAGGTTGAGGAAAATACAAGGAAAAACAATGTTGCAATTTCTTCAAGAAAAAATAGTTTGGCTATGAATCTGTGATGTTTACTGTTAGCTTTTTTCATTGCTATGTTGCACATATGATGGTTAGATGATGTTGCCTGCATGGGTAATCATCATTTTAGTGTGAGCAAACCTTCTACGCACTATGATATATGTTGACGATATAGTAGTTTTTTTTTTCTCGAACACGCAGGTGACGATTTAGTAGTCCATTCGTCATTTCCTTCTGTGCTTTGGTCTTCGCTAATTCTTTTTTTTCTTTCACGTTGAATCCTAGACTAGAAAGGACAGTATGTTTCTCTTGCAGTAGTACATTGCCATTTAGTTGTGGAGATCAATTATCATTCACATTGTGTACAGAAAAACATTTACATGACTAAATTGTGTCCTTGCAGCTGGGATAAAACATGTAGATTGTAGCCACTGAATGACTTCAATGTCGAGCTATATATAGAAATCTTGTTCAATTGCTGAAAATTAACTAGCGCAGTACCTGACTACCTTCTGCAGAATTGGACAGCATATATAAGTTGTGTATGTTTGTTGGGGCTGCTCACTGCTGGGATATGGTATATCTTCAGGGAAGTACACAACTGCATGGTTAGCATCAGCGACAGTAACTGTCGTTGGATTGAAGGTGCTTGTGCTCAGCATGGACACTCCATGTTGGCTGCTGCAAAAGTT